AATTATCTTAAATCAATGGGATCTCCTAGCAACTTCAGCCTCGCGTTTTATTGTGCCAAAATTTAATATACTTGCGTACCAAAAATTATTCTAAAGGTTCTTATGGAACTTTGATGAAACTTTGCTGATTTTTCTTAATTTTTGCACTAAGTTTGAGATTCCCCATTACATGTTTTTTGTTAGTTATTGAGCTATGCTTTTGTAAAAAAAAAATAGCAAACATTATATAAATAAAAAAAAAAGATCAAAACTGGCAAAAGTGTAGCACGGTTTCTATTACCATGGCAATAGCTACATATTTTTAGAAATTTTATCTTCAGTGTTTATACAAAATTTTTGATTAGGCACTCAAGACCAGTCTTCAACCAGTGCATAATTCAAGCTGTGGATTTCTACCAATTAAATCTTTCTCTTTAGGGTTTTCCTTAGAGGCGATATGGATTGCTCGTAAATTTAATTTTACCAGTCCAATCGAAATTTTATTTCACAAATTGTCTTTGAAGAAGTTATTGCATTCCCAATTGAGCTTTCCCTAAAGTAGTAGAAGAACTGGAGAACAATTTTAGTACAATTTTATATACTTTGTCTCAATTACTAATAATTTAGTACATTTTAGTAAGACAAAAAGTTGGAGCAAAAAAGAAGATAAATTTTAGTATATCAGTTAATATTTGGACAGTTAAAGTTTTATTTAACGTCTATTTTGTATTCAGGTAACTTGAGTATTTACAGCGCTGTAGCAAATGTTAGGAATTTCTACTCTTAAATTTTCTGTACATTTAAAAAAAAATTCGTTTTGCACATACCAGAAAAAAGTCAGTACTGCTTAGTACTTCAGAGAGTTTAGATAGAATCATACACCAATTTCAGTACAAGTTTTAATAATTTTGGCGTATTTTCAGGGCTTTCTGGTAACGTTTTAGTACATCGGAAAATAGGAGAAAAATTTAAGTAGCCAGTGCTTGTTGTTCTCTTATAAGTAGAATAATTATTTATAATTATTTTTTTTTTCAATAAATAAATAAATAAATAAATAAATTTNTCTTAAATTTTCTGTACATTTAAAAAAAAATTCGTTTTGCACATACCAGAAAAAAGTCAGTACTGCTTAGTACTTCAGAGAGTTTAGATAGAATCATACACCAATTTCAGTACAAGTTTTAATAATTTTGGCGTATTTTCAGGGCTTTCTGGTAACGTTTTAGTACATCGGAAAATAGGAGAAAAATTTAAGTAGCCAGTGCTTGTTGTTCTCTTATAAGTAGAATAATTATTTATAATTATTTTTTTTTTCAATAAATAAATAAATAAATAAATAAATTTAACTACGACTTTGGAATACTTAAATTGAGATTCAGCTCACTCGAGTGAAAGTGTAGTACATTTTGTTACTTCAAAAATTTTTAGAAAATTGTTAAAATCCGACAATAACCACGCCCACATCCCATATAACGGTAATTTAG